AAAAAAAAAAGCAAGAAGACATTTTACATATAGTTGAGACATATTGGACATAGTTGAAGAAGAATTGTGGCCCTCGAAGATGAATTGTACTTACTCCTTAGATACTTTTGCACAATTATTTTTCTAATAAAATTTTTTACCAATTTTTTTTTCATGTTTTTATTTTAATACTGAAATGTAGTATATTATAATCTTTTCTAATTATAATTAGATGTATTAAATAAAAATTATTCCATCATTTTCATCATATACCAAACATGTTTTTGAAATTTATTTCAACCCCCAATCTCATTCCCATGTGCCAAACAGGACTTACATATTATGATTTAATTTCTTAAGTTCTCTAACAATATATGCGTAGCTGAATAACAGAGATGTAAATCACGATGCCTAGTATAATTGGCACTTAAACTGGATTTTTTAAACATCTAGTTCTGGAATTCGATCCTTAAAACTAATAACGATATTTAAACTAATTATCTTAACCCGATCTAATTAATCGATCATAATGAGTGGGTCGTGTGTTTAAAACTAATATATCCAAACCATAGCCCACAAAAAAAAAAAACAGTATATTGACACGCCATGATAATTGGCAAGGACTCGTTCCTTTGTGATTTTGGTGGGAATATAAATATAAAAGAGGAAATAACATGACTACATAAGAACCCAATACCTGCTCGATGCATCTAACATTCCAACTAGCACGCACACGAAAAGGAAAACCAACCAAACTAGTGAAAAGAATTCTTGTGTTAAAAAAAAAAAGGGGAGGGAAAGAAAACAACAAAAAAATTGTCCTTAAATATATACTACATTCAGTCTTAAATATAAAAGCTAATTAGAGGATTTGATTTAATTCTAAATATAAAATCTCAAATTTAATTCACTTCGTCTTTAAATTTATATTCTTCTGGTTATAAATATAAAACCTTTTTTGTAGTGTAATTTACACTACAAAATGGGTTTTATATTTAGGGCCGGAGAAGTAATTTTTTTAAAAAGTATTCCTATTGATTGTAAGGGGTTCCAATCAAAAGACAGTTCTAATACACATTATTAAAGAAGATAGTTCAACACACATTTTTTTACAAATAACTAATTTAATTAATTTTCTTGATCTTTAAATTAGTTATTAATTCTTATATTAATAACAGATAGTATATCTTTGAAACTTTACAATAAGTCTTTTAAAATCTTAAACTTTTATACGGATAAATTTCATACATTTAATTTTATACATTCCTTATCCTCACATAATTTAAAATTGAGAAATTAAATACATATTAAATAAAGTTTGAAAGGGTTATACACACACAAATAAAATTTAAAGGTGCATATATACTTAATAATTGGGAGTTATCTGTACAAACTTGAAAGTTCAGAGGTTTATTATTAACAGATTATTTGTAGATGATTGAAACTTTGAAAGATTTAAAAGTTTTGTGTAATTTAGTAATTTACTCTTAAATAAATATGAAAAAAGATAAGGAAGAATGACAGAAGTTTTTTATTATCACAATAATAAAATATAATAAATATTATATATTGTCAACGAAGGTAAATTCCATTCCCTTGAGCTACCAAGCAGGATCGATCAAGTTCACAAAAATTAAAATAAACAAGATCAAATAAAGAAAATAAATGAATGAATAGTTACTGTGGACTTCACATTGCGTAATAACAATTAAATAATACTATCACTCCTTTGGTATTACAAGAATATTAATAAATAATCATATAAAATTCTTATAATGGAATTCACCAAAAAAAAAATCTTATAACCGAATTGAAAATAATTTAAAAAATTAATAAATAGAACGCATAAATTTATTTTAATATAATTTGAATATAAGAAATGTATTAAGCCGAACAAAAAATAATAAAATAATTTGATGTCTATTATTATGTATTGTTATTTCATTGCTTAAAGATAAATTAAAAGTGTTACAAAAATATAAATAAAAATATTTCATTTAAAATTAAATAAGGATATTTTATTCTTAAGAAAAAATAATTTTTTTAAAAAACAAAGAATAAATTATAATCTATCTAGAAACGTGGCCCTCGTCAAACATTAAGAAATGTAACTCCAATGCCTCCCGTTAACGTGTGCCGTTTTTTTCTCTTCGCCAACCAACCAAATCCCTCGCTTTATTTATTACTATTATTTTTTTGCTTTTTGTTTTTGTACAGAAGCATTAGCTCAACTATTGGACAATGTTTGATAGTAAGTGGCATCTGAGCTGGCGGTTCCAACTTACCACTCAAGTCTCTGACTCTTAAGTCTTCCTGTTACATGATAAATAAATTAATAAAACGGGAGAAAATACTAGAAGAATATATTGAACATGAATTTTATAGATGAAATAAATCTTACTTTCTGTTGCATAATATTTACATTAAGTTTTTTATATTCATTATATTAAGTTCTCCAATTACATATGGTTATGTATTTTATTTTTAAAATATTATCATCAAACTATAAATATTTTTTACATGTAGATTTACGATTTGATAATAATATTTTAAAAATAAGACATATAAGCCAATGTGATTGGAAAACTTGATAAGTATTGTCTTTTACTTTTTTTCTTTTTAATGAAACCAATGTATTGAACATTATATTGGTCATTAATCGGGTCGAGGCGATGGTTTAAATTAAAAGTCACTTATGTAATTGTGGCCGACTAGATTGACTACAAAATTGGATTACCAATTTAGTAATTTGATCGGCGGACTTCGTTAAGTTTTCATACCATGCATAGAATTAAGCTACACATCTAATAAAAAAAAGAGAGCTTATTTTCCTTGAAGAACCATTGAAAATGAAGAAGTTGTATGCAAACACGGTTCTGATAACTTTATTATATTTTCCTTTTGAAGCATTATAAATATATGATCTTTTATTAAAATATGGTAGATACATGATTTTTATATGTTATTATATGATGATTTGGTTTTGAGCTCTATGATGTTTTTTCTTTTTTCTGCTGTTAATTTTTTTTGGTTAATTATTGCTTTAGGGTGTGTTTGGATTAGGATGAGAGAAGTAATTTTTTTTTCAATCTAACTTTTAGGTGAAAGTCAGATAGTGTAATATGATTTATGTTTGGATTGACTTTTATAAAAAAAATCAGTTTGAGAAGCTAAAACTTGCTTAGATGATGAATAAAAAAAATAAGTTTAGATGCCAAATAACTTAAAAGGACATGAATTTTATTTAATAATACATATCTAACATTATATGTATATGATGTGACTATTTTAACAGAAGTATTAAAAATAAAATTATTAATGATCCTAATGATACTATTCACTACACAAGCAGCAGAAAAAGTAACTTGTAGCAACTTATTTCAAAAGTTTATTTCAAGTCAGTCATATTGTCAAAATGTGAGTCCAAGCACCGTTAAATTTCACAACTCCAGCTTTTTTTTTTTATTTGGGATGCACTTCTGGGCCCCAAACAGCATCCCAAACTTATATGTTCTTTTCAAGTTTTAGATGTTCTGGGTTTTGTTCAAATTAATTGAATATGATTAGCCAGCCACTTTATGTAATCATTTTAGGTATGTTGAATTAAATTGTCTTTTCATCAAAAAATATGTTATTAGATGATTCTTAAATCAAGTCATGTATATGTTATCTTATTATCCAAATATCATATATCTATTCATAATAAACTCATCAAAGAAAAGCATGTTCTATTGTTACCCCCTCTATTTACTTTTGATTGACATTTTAGTGAATTTTTAATTTTTAATATCATTTAACTTTAATGGTTAGTTTGGTTAAAAAAAAATTTAATGTTTAGTTCTTAAATATTTTGCTTTACGAACATGAAAAAAAAAGATGAAATAAGGATAATTCAGTAAAAGTGAATGACTTAATTGATATATATTCTACATTTACTTATCTATTGAATCATGCTAAAAAATTATACTCTTTTTGGTCCTAAATATAAGACTTATTTTATAGTGTAATTTAAATTACAAAATGGGTCTTATATAATTACACTACAAAATGGGTTTTATATTTAGGATAAAAGGGAGTATATACTGAATTATTAATAAAAATAAATTTTAAAATTTTTATTTTCTTTGTAATACATCCTTAGTACCATTATTTTAGTTTTAGTTATAATTCTAGAAATAGAAATTTTATCCTAAATTTGCTTAATTACTGAGTCCCGTGGGAACAACAATGGAGCGGCAATTTTGTCTTTTTATCATCTTCTTTGATCACTTGATGGGCAATTTTGTCTTTTCGAATGTCTTAGTAGTACTCCTCCGGTCCTTAATATAGGACCCAATTAGTGAGTTGGTTTTGGTCCTAAATATAAGACACACTTGTCATATTTATCAATTTTCTCTAAATTACCCCTATGGATACTCCCTCAACTATAATCAAGTAAAAGAGGAAGATGAGTTATTAAGAAAGATGATTATGGTATTTTAGGAAAAACGTGTCACATTTTTTATAATTAACTAACTTACTTCACTTCCTTAATCTAATAAAATTAGTTAAATTGATCTTATATTAAGGACAGGAGGAGTAACACGCAGCCACGCAGGCTAGGCAAGCCCTTTTGGGACTTTCATTAATTAAGCAAATTTGGGGAACTTAATTGCGATTAATTTGCCCGGCTGGTACCAAATCTGATTTTTCCTTTTGTATTTATCTTTTTTTGTGTGTGTTTTTTTAACGGTAGATTGTGCCTCCCTCATGCCGCAGTAGATAATGGAGATTCCGTCTCCCGCCGCATCAAGTTGCGAAGAATTTGTAGGATTTTATGTCGTGCTGCCACGTGTCCATCTCCCCCTACTCGTCTCTCCAAAATTGGACAATGCAGAATTCGCCGTTACCCTTCACTTTCTCTCCCCAATAAAAAAACGAATTTTTTTTTTTCATTTTCTTAGTTCATTAAAAAAAAACATTTATTACTTGTTTTTAATCTGTTTTTCTGTCGCCCTTTCTTTTCTTGCTCGTTCTCCCTTCCTGTTTCCGTCGTGAGCTCTCGCAGGCTTTTCTCTCTTCGGATCGAATTCCCCACCAGTGAGGGAAACCCCAACCAACCCAACAATTTATTGAAAAAAAACGAAAAAAAGAAAAATTCGTTTGCCTTCCGTTGCTTCATCTCACCCAAATCTGAATTAATAACGGAATCCAATCTTGTTGCTAGGATTCGATACCGAGAGGTCTTGCTTTCGCTCCTCGATTGTGTCTTGCGTCGGGGAAATTTAGGTTCATCATCTCGATTTGTTTAGGTTTGATTTTTCTCTGCCTATACAGTGTTATTCTTTTTCCAATATTCAGTTTTTATCTTCTTTTGATCTGTATATTTTGTTATTAGATTTTTTTTTTCCTTTTGCCGTGTTCTTCTGTTATTGTCAAACCCAAGAGCTTATGGGGTTGGACCTGAAAAAATAAGAGCAATTTTGTTTGCTATTTGGGTTCTGTTCTTGTCTTCTGATAATCTGATTGATTTTTTTTTTGGCTATTTTATTTTTTCCCCCTCAAGTTTTTCTCAGGAAACTCGGTGAAAATTTTGGTGCGTTGTTTTAGTTTGCCATCCGAATTCGAGGGTTTTCTTCTTGTTAGATCGTCCAGAACCTTCTTTTTTATTTCTCCTTTTGTTTTCCGCTCTACATCTCTACTCATTGTTCACCTCCTCAGAGAAAAAAACGGATAAAAAAAAAATTAGGGTTTGCGGATTATCTTTTAGTTGGGGTATACATAGATAGATGAGATGGCCTTGAACTTCTCGCATCGACCCATCTTTGCGGCTCACGATGTTGACAATTGCTTCGATTATGGAAGGGATAGATGTGATAGGCCTGGCTCCCAGGAGTCTGTGTCGAAGGACATTCTTGACCTTTTGCCATCGGATCCCTTTGGCATGGATATCAGTACTACCTTCACGGCCATCACAGGATGGCTAGAGGATTTGGAGGCTGATTACGTTGGATACAGAGGGAAGGACGTTGGGCCAAGTGATGATAATTATCAGCTCGTTGCTGGATTGAATTTAATTTGGAACAATGCGATGAGGTTCCATGCGTTTCCAGGCAGCTTGTGCGTTGAGAACAAGCCACCCATCGCAAGTGGTCTTGGTGACTCTTTTCAGAAAGATGTTGGAGTTGCTTCGTGCAATGACGACTTCGGATCTTCTTGTAACACGGGTGACATGGCGAGCTTTGGCTATAAACACTCTGGGATTGATTGTTGGTCCACTAACACGTACATGGATGGTGGGAATCACCCAGAAGGAGGTGAGCTAGCTCATCATTCTGCCTTAGGTTATGCTCTCAGTTATCTGGGTGTGCGTGACCTTCTTGCTGTTGAGAGCGTATGCAAGTCTCTGAACTCTGTAGTCCGAGGAGATCCTCTTTTGTGGAAGAGTATCCACATAGACCAACCTATCAGTGAGAAGATTACTGATGATCTTCTTTTGCAATTAACTAAAAGGGCGCAGGGTAATCTTCAGTGCCTGAGCCTGGTGGAGTGTACAAGGATAACAGATGATGCTCTGAAGCAGGTTCTTGACAGCAATCCCAATTTAACCAAGGTGAGCAACTGAGCATGAATTACCTTAGGTTTTAAATTGGATATTATATAAGTTGGTAGTTCATGTACAGCATTTTTGTCCTTTTAAGCATGTTTATTTGGATTTTATGTGCTTAATTTGAATACTGTTGCAATCCATTATTAATATCTAATCTGTTTACACCATACATCTCAAACCTCTTGAGCTGGCACCTTTCTTTGAAAGTATAAGTCAGCTAACATTAAACCTATGGATCATCGCATGTATAGATTGTTGCATGAACTTTTTTCCTCTCTTCCCTCATTTGTTTTAAAATTCAAATAATTTTGCTATTCTGGATCGGGCTTCAGAATGCATGATTTTCTCCTTAGGTGTTGGACAACATATGCGTGGCTACCACTGTGTATTTTGCGCTAAAAATTTTCCTGGCCAAATGTTTTTCCATGCAATGTGTTTTCACACTTGTACTTTGGTATAAAATGTGGTATTTTCCTTTCTAGTTTGGAGGAAAGTGCACCTTAACTGTGATGTTAAGTGTGATTAAATTCAGTTGATGATAGTCCCATCTGAAATTAGATAATTGTTCAACTGTCTACTTTGATGCATGTAAATTTATAATTTAGATTTATACAAGTTAATGCCTTATATCTTTCACCGCTCTAGGCACCTCGAAGTGGCGTAGGTGGTATTTGTGAAAGCTTCTTTCTTGTGACCTTGTATGAATCTGTTTGCTGGCTCCTGCCTTTTCTTTTCTCTTATTGAATCTAGTTTGAGTGTTGAATGCTTTTAGCTTAGATAAGATTCATACATTGACAAGCTGCTATATTGTTTTCTATACTTTACAGTTGAGTGTTCCTGGATGTACAAGACTCAGTGTCCAGGGTATTGTGAGTATCCTTAAGGATTTCAAGTCTACTGGTGCACATGGAGTGAAGCTCTTGCGTATAGGTGGCCTTTATGGTGTCACAGAAAAACATTTTGAAGAATTGATGCTTTTGTTGGGCACTGATAGCCAGATGTTGCAGCAGTCTCGCAAACCACATTTTTATCATAGGGGAAGCTTATATTTGTCCGATGATGATGACTGTGCCATAGATATTGAGATGTGTCCAAGATGTCAGAATTTTAGGCTGGTATATGATTGTCCAGCAGAGGGTTGCCAAGGGATGGGGCATGCTGCTCAAGTGTGCCGGGCATGCACTCTTTGCATAGCTCGATGTAGTCAGTGTGGACAGTGCATTAATGACAACGAATATGAAGAAACATTTTGTCTGGAAATACTTTGCGCTAGCTGTGCAGATAGTCAAGCGCCAGCGGAGGGAACCAGATAGGGAAGGCTTCTGTTCTTTTTAAACAGGGTTATGGCTTTTATTCTGGTAGGGGCTGGAGGTAAAATACATGTGCGGGTGTGATAAGTTCATTTTTCTGAAGAGAAAGAGAATTACTGATGATTCAAAGCTCAAGCAAAAAAAAAATCTAGGAACATCTCAAAATATGCCCTATGTTAGGAACTTGTGAATTATTGTTACAGGGTTCACCTGTTTGAGAACTTCTGCTGTCATGGCTTGCTATTTTCTATCATCACACTTTGTGTTTGTCTTGCTGAAGAAAATACAAAAAAGAGGCTGAAGAAAAAAAAAGAAAAAGAAAAAGAATTTATAGATGTAACTCTTGAGAAGGGGGAAAATATTTTAGAGAGATGGCTGCTTACTCCTCGGAAACAGATTATTTTAGGGAAATCCTTACCAAGAATAAGGTCACATGAAGACTTGAGAAATATTGGGTTGTGCTGGAGTGAGGTGTCATTTTGATGCCCGTGCCATTCACAGTGGCAGAGTTTTCATACGGTGGAGAAGCGGAATTGGTTTCAGTTTTGATGTTCTGCACGTATGGAGAAGCTCTATTGTATCAGCAGTAATATGGAGGCGATTGGTTCCATCGTACTACGGTTATTGATCACCTCACCATTGTTGTAACGAACATTTTTTCTGGTTACGTGGCAGTCTAAGTTACGGATGCTGCAGTTGGAGGTTTTTTTGGCTGCTATGCAGCCTTCATGATTAGCTGTTTTCTCACAATTCGCTGTGTTTTGGTGCATGTATTTTGTTTATTCTCTTCCTCCTTGCATACAGGGGAGGGGACAAGATAATAATGAAGGGGATATCAAGTGACACATTTCACTTTTTATGCCTCTTTCAATTTGTGTGTCTTTCACTCTTTCTACGTGTGTCGGGTGAAAATAAAATGAACTCTAGAATCTGTTGTGTATATTTGCGAAAGAATCTCTTTTGACAATAATGTGCTGCTCTAATGCCTTTTTCATTGTGTCTTTATTATGTACTTAGGTGGTGGCTTTGTTTGGCCAGACTACTTTTATTAGAATGTATCACACTAGTTCTGATTCAAAGAATGTATCACTAGTTACCAACGTACTCTACTCTTTAGCCTTTCCCCCGTATTTTCCTTTACCGTTTCATGTTCCCAGGTTATGTAGGCCACATGTTGGTCCCTTGATAGCTTACTGACAGTCTGGAATGCTGAGAGCTTATCAAACAGCGGCAGCCCTTTGGACCGGACATGCAATAAAAGTAGGAAAATTTGGGGAAAAGGCCTATTTACAAAATTTATCGGCCACAGGGATCTAATGACACGATCTTCAAATATTAGCGGGTTCAGCCTCTTTTTTTTTCCCTGAAGTTTATGTATCTTATTTTCAATTATGTGTAGATGTTTCTGAAGTAAAAGTTTATTTGCACATGGTATCCTTTGTGATAAAATATTTTTTAAATAAAGACTTTTCACCAAATTTCCAAAAACAAAAGGTTTCTTCTATATTTGGGTATTAGTGCTTCATATTTGAAATTATCCTCGGTTTAATAAATTGAATCAAATCAAGGTATAAGAGATATAACAATTTAACCGTAAGTAACTGAAACTAGGAGGTAACAGAGTCTCCTACTTAGGAATCTAGAGTCACAAGTTTTGCTTTTCTTTATCTTATCACAAGGACCGAAGGGTGTTATTTTATAATTAATATCCCGATTTGATCTCATTTATAGTTAATATCACGATTTGATCTCAGGAATTGGCACTGGACATTGATTCTAAATGCGTGTTGCTGCCTGAAACCATGATGTTAAACTGCATCTTTAAGACACAAACAGGGCACGATTTTGAACATTGATGATGATGCTACTATCACCAACAAATATAAGTTTCGCGAATTACACAAACACTAAGGGCTTGTTTGGTTGAAAGGGTGGAGAGGAAAAATGAGCCCCTCTTTTTGTTTGGTTATTTTATCCTTATATATTTTGGTGATATTTCATTAATGGACATAAAATATATTATTATAAAATTTATTTTAAATAAAAAATATTATTATACTTGAAAATATATTATAATAAAAAATAATTTAAAATAAAAAATATTATTGCAATGATAAATTAAACTACTTTCGGTCCTACTTATAAGACTTCATTTGTAATCCACAAATGAGGTTTTATAATAGGACTGGAGGTAATATTACTATAAAATTAATTAATTTTTACAAATATATTATTTTATTAATTAAAATATATTTTAAATCTGGGAAAAAAATTAGCCGAAATATTTTTTGAGCATATAAAATTTGTTAATTTCATTATTTAAAATATATTATTCTATTAATTAGAATTAAAAAATTACTGTACACTATCAATGAGTCACATGTAAGTAGAGCTTATTAAAGATTTTACATTATACCTAAAAGGTTGCGGGAGTTGCCAAAGTTTGTTGTATTGAGAGCATATAGTGTGTCAAGGTTTATTTAGTAATTCAAAATATCTGTATCCAATATTTTAAAATATTTTGTAATGCAATTTTATCATTGAAGTATTACTCTAAGATATTGAATGAACCATAGAATATTTTAAAGTACTAAACACACATAAAAAATATTTTAAAATGTCAAATGAATCACGGAGTGTTTTAAGATGGTTCCCTCCAAAAATATTATAGTACTGGATGAACCTTAGTGCAAATATAATTCATTGTTATTTGTACCGACGCGATGCGAATGAGATTGGTTGAAGTTACCAGGATGTTTTTGCCCAGAAGAAAAAGCTCACTTGCTGTCAAAGCCAGCAGCTTCCTTCTGCCAAAGGGAACGGAGAAGTTTGTTTATCCACAGCCCAAAAGGTTCTGTACGTTTCTTTACGTTTTGGTTCCCAAAGCTCCTCTCTCTCTCTCTCTGTGTCTCTGTGTGTGTGTGTGTTCTTCCACTAAGGCAAATAAAGCATATACATGATTCCAGCGTAACACAGTGAACCATTCGTTGTTTGACAGCATCGAATGGTGAAAGAACAAACGACCAAAACCTCCACAAAAAGAATCGTTTAAACTATTCCAGTCCTTATTATAAATCCATTTCAATTAATTCTTACATATGAAGAAATGATGTCATTGAATATTTCTTGAATTCATATATTTTTTTCAAGTTTGTTTTTATTAAATTTTCTTTCTTTTACATTTATAAATTATTCTAACCTTTTTGTCTAACCAGATATAAGTAAGGGTAAGTACAATTATATTTAATTAAGACCAAAATTGTTCCTACAAACGACTAATTATATGGACCATAGTAGCAATATTTCTTCCACTTTTAAATGTATTAGCTGGGTAACTGATTTATAAATATTAAAGAAATTAATTTAGTTTTTTAATTGATTTTTCTATAATACTCTTTAATCATTTGCATTGAAAATTGCCCTTATTAATGAAAATTCTTTTTAGTATGTAAAATTATTAGGCAATGTTTGGGGAAAAATTACAAGTTTGTTAGAAAAAAATTAATTGAAATTTTACACTTAGAACCAAAATAAATTTTTTAACTAACTCCTCCTATCAGCAATAGGATAAGCAGAAACTTGCCGATGGTCTTATAACCTAGTAACATGTAAACTCCTCTTATAAATTAGAGGTTGTGGGTTTGATCCCGCTTAGGATCTCATGTTGTTAGTCCCTGTTGCTTTAAACTCAAAAATGGGATAAGCAAGAAGCTTATTTATTTGGGAAAATTTCACTGTAGGACCGCAGAAGATAATTAATTTCAAAGAGCCCCCAAAACTTTCTGAAACTTCACTGCAGGACCAAGGAGGCAAACTGATATTAATTCCACAAAGAAAATGACGCTATTGCCCCTCATAATACTTATTGCAGGGTGACATGTAAATGGACTAATTTCAGTTGTAAATAAAGGTACGTATGTTGCAAATTGACTAGTCCTACTTGCAAATGGGTTCTCTCACACTCACAGGCACCTTTTTCAGGTGAATGAGGTGATATGTAAATGGACTAATTCTAATTGTAAATAAATGTATGTATGTTGCAAATTGACTAATTCCACTTGCAAATGGGTGATCCCACACTTGTTCACTCACGGAGACCTTTTTCAGGTGAAGGAAGTGACATGTAAATGGACTAATTCCAGTTGTAAATAAATATATGTATGTTGCAAATTGTCTAGTCTCACTTGCAAATGGGCTGTCCCACACTTGTTCACTCAGACACATTCTTCAGGTGAAGAAGGTAATATGTAAATGGACTAATTTTAATTGTAAATATATTTATGCATGTTGTAAATTATCTAACCTCACTTGCAAATGGGTTCTCCCATACCTGTTCACATGAGGGGCAATAGGGTCATTTTCTTTGTGGAATTAATATCAGTTTGCCCCCTTGGTCCTGCAGTGAAATTTCAGAAAGTTTTGGGGGCTCTTTGAAATTAATTATCTTCTGCGGTCATACAGTGAAATTTGCCCTATTTATTTTATTCAACAAGTTGAACAATATAACACATTCTTTCTAGGCAAGAGCTAATACCCTGAAAGAAAAACAAAACATTTAAATCTTCTCAAGTTGAATATATAGTATAAAATGCACAATATATATTCCTAAACAAGATAAATATATTGATGTTTGAGAAGATCTAAATTTTCTATGGTATTATGTTGTTGTTGTTCAAGATTTCTCAGATTTCTTGTTGCTGCCCAGGTCTTTCATCCACTTGAGGCTGAGGATGCTTTTGATCTTTGCAGATCCAAGCTTGGTCTTCTTCTTGTCTTCTTTATTAGAGGGGGGAGGATCAGGGTGGCTATCCCATTGATCAGCCCAGGACAGCCCTGAATCCATTATTTCTGCTTTGGATGCCTCTGGATGATGAAGATGATGATGATGCTTGCTCATGCCTCCTTTTGTTGTTTAAATCTCACCTTTATTGAATAATTGTGCTTCTTTTTCCTTTTTACCTATTTTAAACCCTGTTCTTAATTAGCCTTTCAATGGAAGCCATTGTCAATTTTAGTAAAAAGAGATGGTCAATTTGGTTAATTAGTGAAAAGTCTTTGACTCGTTGATGATCTATCCTTATCTTTGATTTGAGGGGTATTTCTATTTACTATTTACCCTCTTAGGATTATGTGGTTTCACCTTAATTAATAAATCCCCTCTTGACCTAGTCTCCTTGCCACAACGGCTAATTTGGATACCACTAAAACTTAATTATTTTTATAATAATAAATAAATATTATAATACCTTAATCCTCTTTTTATCGTTCACTACAAATTATAATATTTCTAATTAATTGTAAAACTCCATGCGCTACTTATTATAATCACCTAATAACTACTTTACATAAGTTAATTAATCTGGTTAAAATTATTTATTTCTTTTTTAAAAAAATTACCCTCAACAAAAATAATTAGTGATAGGAGTTTAGTTAATTAGTCAAGAATATTAGAAATACAAAATTTAATAATTTAAACAAAATGTTGGGTTATGTAAAGAGCTGTTGTGATGATGTAGAGCTGCTTGCTAACGCTTTGAAAAAATCTTCTTCCAACATGGACAAAACACTAATAAAGTTTGCTGACAATTTATGTAAAGAATTGGCACAAATATGGAAGGATTCAAGAAGATTTGGTCCTATTAATGTGGATAGAATAGAGAAAATATGTAGGCAACTTATGAGAATACAAGATCTCTCATGGGATGAGATTAACAAGGTTCATGTTAAAATTATAAAGTCTTTTTTTATTAGTATTTTGGAGGTTGTAGATATTATCTCAATTTTTTTTAAATTTAAATTGATGAGGACATGATTTAACTTATTAGTTCTTATGCATAAATTTATATATTTACTTATTAGCTCAATTCCAAATTTATTTAAAAATTATTCTTCTAGTTATAATATAGTTATAATATATATAAATATATGTATGTATGAATGTGTGTGTATGAGTGCAATATATGTGTGTATTAAATTTCTTGTTAATATTTCTAATATACGATCTCTCACAGCATTTATTATTCTTCCATTTGTTATCAATAACTCTATTGGAAAATAAACTTTTATTAGTAATTGATCTGCAATATAAATTTAACTTGCATTGTACTTTAATTCATGATATATAAAAAATTATACTTTAATTTATTATATATGTATGGATAAGGGGTAATTTTGTCTATTATTTTACTATTATATACATGGATAGGTTAGTATGTATATGAGACATTGAAAAAAAAAACAACAAATTTTAATTCATTATATATAAGGGTAATTTTGTCTTGTGATAAATTATTTTTAGAGTAAAATACACCAACTACCCTTCTATTTTACCTCAATTACAGCTTTTTATTATGAAAACGTGTATAAACTTTCCTTAAAATCAAAATGTATGTTACACAAACTTCCTTCTTATATTTAAGATTATATTTCCATCCATCCAAATTGTTAGTTGACCGTTAAGTTTGACTTTTAAATTTTTTTTAAAACCAAAATGCCCTTTTTTAACAGAATAATCATTTAAACATTTATATTTTTCAAAAAAATATATTTTATAAAATCAAAAAATAGTTATAATACATGTATTTTAAAACTTCTAATATGTTATAAAAATTATTAATTTGAATTTAAATTATAATATTTTGTAATTTTAATTTTTCATCACATTCATTAAAACTATTTATTTTGATTTCTTTTAAAATGCTAAAACATATTTCAAATGTATAGTTCTATTTTATCATAAAATACAAATGATATAAGTTTGAAATATTGTTTAAAATTGTAAATTTTTAATTCAAAATTTTTAAACACATTTTTGTTCAAAAATTTATAAACAAATTTAGTCAAGAATATATTTAATAAAAAAATTAATTAAATTTTTAATCAAATTTTTTATGTCTGCCTTAACTTAATTACTTAAACTTATGCTAAAATATTAAACAAATAATTATTTACAAAAATAAAATAAATGAAATGAATAAAAACCTCTTAAATTCTTCAAAACAATCTTGACCAAAATGTGCAATACAAAATAAATACATCAAATATGCGTAATTCCTCCATATAACATCTAATGATTTTGAATGACATTACCAAGTGACAAAAATTAAATCCTATTCTAGAGGAGTAACTGAAGGCATTTGAGAAGTGGTTGAATGAGGATTGCTAGAAATTCTGCTTGACTTGGCAATCTTCAAAATCACTAAAAAAAAAGTCAAATTCAACAAAACATTCCAACATATTTTACAAAAGACATTGAATGTGAGAAATTTGATGTGCATACCTTCTTTGCTCGTCTAGCTCTAATTTTTGACTTTGCTCTTGGTTGTATTGAAGCTTTTTCTTGAGTTACTCCTTCAAATGAAGTTTGTGATGCACTTACAGAAGATTTCTGCAATAAGAAATGAGTAAATTGAAGTAGAAAATATTATATGTAATTGTTGATAATAAATTAAGGTAATATATTACTTGTCTATTTTTCTTGACTTTGATAGGAGCTCTTTGACAACTCCTTTTATTGTGCCCTAATTCTCCACAATTAGCACACTTGACAATTGATAGTCTTCGTCTTGCATTTGATGGTGCATCATCATCTTTTTCTTTCTTTTTTTTTTCTGCTCACTTTGGGCCTGTTGGGCAGTCTATGTAAGGGGGGTGGAAGTATATCCATTTCTTCCACCAAACTTAAATCTGGCAAGGGGCTAATTGTGCCAGAGTATGTGGCTATGTAATTTGTTTTGCTATAATAAGCATCACAACAGTCCTCTACTTTTACCCTTATATATGCAATGGCAGCTGCACCATGTTTGCAAGGTAATCCACTAAGTTGCCATGCTTTGCATTCACAAGTATGAGAATTCAAGTTCACAGGAAATCTTGTAAACTCGTCATATACTTCAAATTGATTATTACCAGCTACCTCTACTCTACAATGCCTTCTGTCTCTCATGGTCTTGTTTATTTCATCCACAATTCTTGCACCAATAGTTTGTTGCCAAGATGTAGTAGAATGAAGCTTCTTGTGAAATCTCATCATTATTTTTGACCTTAACTTATCTAATAAATTCAATATGTTCATATTTCTCAAGTCATTTATCCACTCATTAAAAGATTCACAAATATTATTAGTAATGTGTGGACTTTTGCAACTTTCATAAAATGCATGTCGAGTCCAAGTATTCAATGGGATAGACATCAAATAGTGATACACCTTATCATCATATCTTTTCATTTTTTCCATTGCCTTCTTAAAAATAAATTCATTTGGAGCTTTAACAACCATCCAAAAAAATTCTTGTAAGATTAGCAACGGAAATTTAACCTTGAAATTATTAAATAAATGCCTACCACAATATCTATGCCATGAGTTTGGAAAAAATTCAGCAACTACTTGTGTCAATCCCTACATCCAACGAAAAAAGATCATACATATGCAATCATAACATGTACAAACTAAAAAAATAAATAAAGTCTGTAAAAAAAAATTACCTTTTGTCTATCACTCATAATTATATAATGATTGTCTCCAATTGCATCATTCAGATATTCCAAAAAAAATCTCTAAGATTCCTTAGACTCTACCTCAGCCACTCCATATGCTAATGAAAATAACCCATTATTTGCATCAAGTGAAATTGCACATAATAACACACCTCCATATGGACCTTTTAAGTGGCAACCATCTAGTCCAAAAAATGGCCTAAAACCTTTCAAAAAGCCATCTCTACAAGCAGCCAAACACACAAAAATCCTCTTGAAAGTAAGGCTTTCTTCAAATGATGACCTATCGTGATAGCATAACTTCACTATACTTGCCTTTTTTTTTCCAACAATAACTCTGCATATTTTGGTATCTTCTTGTAACTTGTAGCATGAGAACCTTCACATTCTTCTCGCCCTTTTTTTCTTGCCCTATACAGTTGCATCTGATGAGCCTTAACTCCATACTTGGTAGTCAATTCATTATCCATTAATTCACAGCTCATGTTAGGATCAGCATTCAAAGACCCTTTCAATTTATTTGCTATCCAAGTAGAGGTAGCATTGGGTTGCTTAGTTAACCTAACACAATTGTGCATAGGTTTATATGTCTTTATCATAAAAGTCATACCATCTGGTGTGGGAGAAGTATGAATTCTCCAAGGACAATCGTTTGAAGCACAAATAGCAGTTACTCTTGTTTTTTTTCATTTTTTAATCTTATTATGTCAAAATTCTCTTGGATTATATAATCCCTTAAAACATTCCTAAACTCATTCACGTTAATAAACAATAGATCTCTTTCTAAATGCACTTTACCATTAGCATCATACTCAAATCTTCTTCCCTTAACATTCTTAAAAATATCTAGAAGTCTAGGCTTTTCTATGTCACTACCACTTGCAGAATTTTTATTATCATCAATATGAACTTTAGGCTCACTATCTTCATTGTCTTCTACACTATTCAAATTGGAATCATCATCAATCCTTTCACCCTCTCCCCTCTCTTCTAGTTCATTATCATCATAATCCTCCTCTTTAGAATCAATATATAATTTATCAGTATGAGGTTCACTTTTATCACAATTATCAATATCTTCAATATGAGGTACATTATCTTGCATTGAAAATTTTTAAAATCAAAATACAAATATAATAGAATCAAAAGAAATAGAAAGTAAACTAAATAGCACAAATAGGTGATTGGTCATCTGGATACTAAATCCCTAAATAATATTTGGAAATTACTAAAGATAGCATATGGGTGTGAGGTGATTTTCACAAAAAACCATGCTGCAATATCCGAAAGAAACCATATGTCAACACACACACACACACACACACATATATGTGTATGTGTATATAT